GATTTAGATACATAATGCTGCAGTGGTGAAAAGGATGAATTCTTTGTGGGTTTTATCTTCCTTGGTCACTGTGAGAATGTTCTGCTCAACAGAGGAAAAAATAGGTCATGCTTTACGTGTGGCATTGTTGTAGCAATGTCAGAAGTTTGAAATAAATCCTGTTTGGCTGCTGTACATTACTAAACCTGTTCGTGATGGCAATTATGCCAGAACAGTTGATTGTAAATAAACCTGCTTTGCCGGTGACGCTTTGTGAAACTCTCTTCATGAAGAATTGGAGCGTGTGATGAAAACCAGCATGCGACCAAGAACATTTTGTGATATTGTCCTTCTGATGCTGTAAATCTTCAAAGTGCTTGCGATCATATATGTTTGCCATGCCATGCTCGTTGTGTGTAGAAAGCTCATAGAATAGAAGGTTAAACTATTTTTCCCATGTATCGCAAGGACACACAACATTTGTTAGGCCAAGGACTGTTTGAGAGCTGTTATGTTAGTGCGGTGAAGCTTGTACTCTAACAAGGAGATGGGTATAAGGCAAAGAAACAGTTGGGACCGAGATAAATACAACATTGATATTGATGTAATTTATGTTTGCTTGTACAGTATTTACTTAATATAGTCTAATAATGATCACTATAAGTACCCAACATATAGTTTCCCTTCCAGTCATTAAAATTACAATTCTATAACAATTTTTGGAGGGGCTCTGAAAGCCATGTTTGGAGGTCAGGTTCTGCATCCTTGGCTTAGTCCAATTCTGGTTTTCTCTAGATGTTTTAGACTACAGTTCCCATTATCTCCAGCTAGCAAAAGCATTGCCCAAGGATAGCTGAGATGACTGAAACCAGTCCAATAGATTTGGAGAATGTGAAGCTGGAGAACCCAGAACCAAAGTCTATCTCATGAAAGGAAGAGAAAATGATTCCTGATCCAGAAAATTTTTCTTGTAACAGGAAAGATTCTACAGCAAACTGTATAGCCCTATGCTATTGGAGCAAATGCCACATTTCAAATAATTTTCTCTGTAGCAGTGTAGGTATGCCACTGAGCAGTATGCCACTGAGCAGTAACGATACAATCCTCAAAGAGATTACTCTTGAAATAGGAGGCAGCCCCTAGAAACTTGGGTAATTAAAAAAAAAAATCTAAGAGTTGGTTGTAAGTTGGGAAACTACCAGACAATTCCAAGTTCTAGAATGGACTGAGAAATTGAAAAAAAAATAAATCTCAGAAGTAGGGCAGTAGCAAATCATTTCTGTATTATCCAAGAAACCTACATGAATGTGACTGTACTGTCACTTGCAATTGAGCAACTGAATTTGCTTCAAGGAAGTCATATCTACCTCCTACGAACAACCTGCTATAGCAGATTAAAGGTAGATACTGTATAATGCAGTACTAGAATGAAGCACATGAGACTTCTTAGATAATTGTAAATTAATATTGTAGTAACTATTTTCTTTGATTAAATACGTTGCTGCAAATTTGACTCTTTTCTTGGGGTGGGTGTTATGGAATAATTTTACTTTACAGAAAGCTGCTGGACTGGATACTTTAGAGGCCCCTATGGCTGTGTATGATGAAGACCTCTTGAGGAACCCTTTCTATTTGGCCATGCAGAAACGACGTCCTGATCTCTGCCGGAAAGTTGCAGAACTCCATGGAACTGTAAGTAAATTGTGATGGTTCCTAATATTCTCCTCTAGAGGGACCAAGAGTGAGCATAGGGTTCATCTAGGGCAGTGTTTCTCAACCTTAGCAACCTTAAGATGTGTGGACTTCAACTCCCAGAATTCCCAGCCAGCATGGAGACTGATCTAGGGACAAGCTTATTTAAAACAGTTATGTACAAATGTCAAAAGGGTACTGGGTCTGATTCTCCATGGTGAAAGTACTGGGCATGCAGCTACTACATGTAATTGAGGTATCACAAAAAGGGGTGTTGAACATCGCTTCTATGATGGGAATAATTTGAGAAGTTTCTTTAGCAGCTCACTTATGCAACAACTAAACGGTATAAGATTAATTCAGTACAGTATAATCTGAAATTGTTTTTCAACCTTGGCAACTTTTAAGATGCGTGGACCTCAACTCCCGGAATTCCCCAGCCAACTCGCCATTCTGGGAGTTGACGTCCACACATCTTAAAAGTTGTCAAGGTTGAAAAACACTGATCTAAAAGATTCTATTCCTTAGTGCTCTTGTGTTTAGTTCACCTTGGAGAACATGAAACTCAACCTTTTGATGAAATTGGAGATAAAGTAGATAAGTAGGTACTAGCCCTGCTTGTTTTTCATAGTTTGATTTCTAATACTGTACTGTGGTTAGCAAAAATGTGATGGGATTTGGGATCCAGCTTGGTATATAGTATATACACTGATCCCCTGTAACTCTTTTTCTAGATACTGGTACCTTGTAAAGGCAGCCTTTCCAACAGTGTCATTTCAGCTTGCCAGTTCGACTCTTACGTTCTCAAAGCAGCAGACAACAACTTTCACACTTTGAATGGAAAGGTACAGGCAGTATAAATAATGGGGGCCAGTCCAGATTTGGATTAACAGTGTTTCTGTAGTCTCATGTCGAATAAATGGGCTGTAAACAAATTCAGCTGTAATGCTCAGAGAAATGTGATAAATTAGTAAGATTCTACTGCAGAGGTTATCTTAATCTGTTCAGGCTGCAGGCTTCATTAATCTGTTTGTGTGCGGACGTGGTTGTGTGCAAGGATGGTAAAATCCTGATTGCCAGGGCTAACGTATTTGAGCTGCAAAATTCTGGAGGTCCATGAGATGGCAGAAATGCATGTTTTGCTGCATGTAGCGTCTCTCTGAATAATTGCAGACCAGGTATGATAGCCATAGTGATTTCAATCTTCTTAACCAAAATCTAATGAGATTTTAGCTTTTTTTCCCCTTTCCTCATAAGAGTAGATGATCTTATGGGATTTGGCTATTTTTAAATCTTAATTTAATTTTGGACATTTATAGATACTGTTCAGGGAATATTGTTGATGCCTGGGAGCCTACAGGTCCTGTGTTGCTTATGGTGGTGGTCCTACTGTTCGCCCTGTTCTGTTTTTGAGTTTTTCCTTTGTTTCTCTCTTTCCCCATTTAGGAAATCTTTATACAAGGAAACATGATCATCCTTGGGGGCGAATTTAACCAGCATTGCTCAATACCTATTCTCTTTGAGGAAACGTTTTATAATGACAGGGAAGAGAGCTTTAACATCCTTTGTATAGCTCATCCTCTAGAGAAAAATGAAAGTAAAGGTAAAGATTATTGTTTTTCTCAGTATTGACAATAGATGCTTGGTTAGTTTTTGAACTGCTGATCTCTGCATGAGTAAACTGCTTTTTTAGCTTGACAGGGAATAATGAAAATGTTTAATGAATCTGCAGGAGTGAAGCTTAAAGCCTCTTTGCACACTTGTGAGAAACAATTTATTTGCAGCTAGGTTCACCCGTTGCATTAGACCATAATATGGTTTCTTCTGCTTGGCATCTTGTATGAACCCAGTCGTCATGCTTTCTAAATGTTGTCTGTGGTGCTGTGGAAATCCAGCTAAGTGTGGCTTAATCAACAAATCATGTTTAAGCAAACCATGACTTTGTATAATGTGTGAACAGGTCATGAGGCAAGTGGGAAGGACTTTCCCGACTCCAGGAAGGAGTTTGGCAGTAGAACCATCCTAGTTTCTTAGCCCTTCTTGTATGTCTGCCTCTGTAAATGCCTCTGTGTGAATTGACCTCAGATTCTTGGAGGAACCAGGGATGTTTCTGTCCGCTGACAAGTGCCTTCCCATTTCAGAACCGTCCTCAACGGCATCCCACTGTTACTCCTTGAAAAACATTGAAGATGTGAAAGAATTCTTGGGAAGGCATGCAGAAAAATTTGATAAAGCTATTGCATCTTTCCACAGGACTTTCAAGGAGCATGACAGGAAAATCCTGCGACACTATATAGTTAGTATTTCCACTTCCAATGGATGTAATGCTTAACTGCATATGACAAGTGCTGTCATTAAATTAAAATTTTCCCCAATCTCTTCTGTGGGGAGGAGTCTTGTTGAGATTCTGGCCATGTCATATGCGTGTCACCTAAAGTATGCTGCTTGATTCAGAAACGAATTAGTCATATGCTGGCTTGTGTAAATAGAATGATACACTAAGACATTTGAGAACTGTTTTAATTGGGGTGCAGCTTTAGGTATTGCCCTCTCATTTATTGCCCCAATATTTCATATTTGAGAGTGCCTCGGATGTATTACTGAATAATGTGCCTAGCAGCAACATTCTTTAACGACTGTCCTCCCACTCTACTTAATTAATCAAATGAAATTTGCCTGGTATTTTTAAATGCTTGACTATTTCTGCCCCCACCCCTCCAATTTTCTCAAATGCCTTTAATGTACTTTGTTTTGATCTTAAGGATTCTGTGAACGCCCTCTACACAAAATGCATTCAGCAGTTGCTGAGAGATTCCCACCTTGTGAGTACAGACGGGTGCATGTAAACACATTGCCACCCCTTGGTTAGGGAGCCTGTGTGTTCATTCTGTTCTGTTCTCTCTTTCGTCATTTAGAGAATGCTTGCAAAGCAGGAACTTCAGATGAACCTGATGAAACAAGCTGTGGATGTGAGTATTCTGGGTCGTCGGGGATCTTTGTTCCCGCTTGAGTAAATCTTTGGAACCCCGTCTTTGTTTTTTATCTCTCGGTACAGATGTACATCCATCACTCCCTCTATGATGTCATCTTTAAATACGTGGGGACCATTGAAGCAAGTGAGGTAGGTACCCAAACGTGCCTCAGTTCCTCCAATGCCATAGTTATGTTTTGAAACCCGGGTGTACTTTCCCCACGTGGAATATAAAAAGCATATGGATTGCATCGTTAGGGAGAGTCTTCATGCATCGAACAGACATTCCCTACAAGCTCCATGTGGGATTCTCAGTGCTGTAATTTGGGGGTGAGACCTCTGCATAAGAACGTAGTAAATTAGGGAAGAAAGATCCCTAAATCTGATTTGATGTAAAGCAACTTCCTGGGTCCCATAGCAGCCCCCTCTCTGAAGTCCTAGAATAGTGTTTCTCAACCTCAGCTACTTTAAGATGAGTGGACTTCAACTCCCAGAATTCCCTAGCTGGCTAGGGAATTCTGGGAGTTGAAGTCCAGACATCTTACAGTGGCCAAGGTTGAGAAACAATGCCCTAGAAATTTGAGAATGGGGCATTCCCACAAGAAGGCTGCCATTGTGGGTGTGGCCAAAACATCCATGTGCCAAAAGATTCCTGTCCACTAGCCTTTCTAGCCATTCAGGAATAGTTTTGCCACCTTTTGCTTGGAAGGGGGCATACTTTCAAAGCAGTAGGCTGGAGTCACCGTACCAGTTGTTAGTGATATTAGTGCAAGTTCTGCTGGAGACTAAGGCTTTGGATTATGTTAGCTTCCTTTTATTTTATCTAAAAAATGTAGGTTGAATAGTAGAGTCCCTGGACTTATTGGTGCCCAGGAGTGCCAGGCTGGGAAATTAAGTTCCGTTCAAAGTCTCTTCTGGCAGGACTTAAGTGGTGTGTTCTCTGTTTAGGATGCAGCTTTCAACAAAATTACCCGAAGTTTACAAGACCTGCAGCAGAAGGATCTGGGTATCAAGCCGGAGTTTAGGTGAGTTGCCAGCTATTTTTTTTAAGGGTTTTCCTAGCAGAGTTGAGTTGAGTTTTGTTTTTCCTTGGGCAGAGCCAAGAAAGAATGGATAAACTTGGGAAAATGATGACGCTCCCTGAGTGATTGCCAATTATTCTTGGATCTATTTATTTTCTATTCATTGTGGTAATTTTGTAATTTTAATTGATTTTAACTATTTT